AGTTATTTTGTTTTCTTTACGTTTGACGTCACTAAAGGTAAATGGTCAAGGTTACAAGCTAGGTCTTTTAAAACACAAACGGTATTGGTACTAGAAAGTCGTAGCCACTTTTTCTTACACTGAGTTTTTCACTCTTAGGTCAGTCGTAAAATAAAAGTTAAATACTTTAATGTTTATGTCAGATTTCATCCAGTTTAGACTCACGCGAAACGTTCGGAATAAATCGATGCGGTAGAAGTGATTGAAATTTCGCTCGCCAGTTCCGACCAAACACAGACGAAGCAAAAACAACACAGAAAGTTAAATAAAAGCTTGGAAAAAAAAGTTTAAAATAACAAGATTGTATATACGCACAGATAAGAGAAACAGAAAATGATCATCTTTGAATATCAATATAAGACTATCTATATATATATTTCTCCTCTTCGAGCCGTTAGAAAACAAGCTGCAAACGCTCTCCCTACCTCCCCCACCCCTACATGGTTTTAGTGAGCTGTGTTCACTCTAAATGTTTACATGCAGAGCCAACGATTTTAAACGTAGGGGGGGGGGGGGGGGTTATGGTCCTTAACGAGCTACTTATAGTGTTTTAAAGAAATATTTTCAGTGTCAGCGTTGGTACTGTCGAATTTACAAATTATGAATTATTGAAAATTAGAAACAACTAAATAGCGGCGTATGTTATGCCGCGGGCCGGCTCGTAGCCTTATAATAGACCTACACCACTCTTTAGATTCCTTACTTAAAAAAGAGGTAGGCCTAGTCGAAATGTATTATGCATTGAATTTTCTATCTATCGAATTAAGAGTGACACGATGTTTTAATTATGTAGATATACAAAGAAGACGTACACTAATACGTGTTTTAAATAAAGTGCATTTGCAGTGTCATCTCATTATACCTGTGTATTGATAAGTGACAGGTGAAAGCGACCCGTCAGCAAGTCATGAATATCGTTCATGCTTTAAGGTTCAATTAGTTTGGGTCTGAGAGGAATGTAAATGCAAGTTTTTAACGTCACGATTTAGCGAACGCGATTATTTTTTATCGCCAATTATTAACATCTTTCCTAATATAAGTAGATAAGGGAAAAATGTAACGGCTCGTTGGTCTAGGGGTATGATTCTCGCTTTGGGTGCGAGAGGTCCCGGGTTCAAATCCCGGACGAGCCCAAATATTTTTATTTCCACATTTTTTTAAATAACTACGCCTACAGAAGAAGGTTACATAATCGAGAGTATTAGTGAGGGGGTAGGAGGAGATCTTCAGGTCGACCACTTTGCTTTAAACGCTTCAGGATCTCCTTGATTCCTTAGTCGATGCTAGTATTCTTGATATTTCGGCCCAGTTTGTAGCTCACCTCCTTTGGATCACAATTTAACCTTTCAATACATTTTACTGCGGTGAGGACACATTCGTACTGCAAAGAAAAAAAAATGAAATGTGATTTAGAACAAGTGTCAGCTCAAAAATAGATTTAGATAAAAAGATGTTATTACAAACATGATTTGAGAACGATAATAACGGCACGTTGGTCTAGGGGTATGATTCTCGCTTAGGGTGCGAGAGGTCCCGGGTTCAAATCCCGGACGAGCCCAACTATTTTTATGTCTACATTTTTATAGTATTCAGATATCTATAGATAGATGTTGTTCATTGATCGAAAAAAAATTAAGGTGCGCGAAGGGCTGTAACGTCAGGCTCATTTACGTTGAAATGTGCTTGAGGAAAGCGGCAACAATTTAACAATAACAACTTCAATAAAGTGTTTTAACATTAAAGTCTGGAAACCAAGTTGACCTATTGAAATCATAGGGTGCGGTAAAATTTTGGCAGATATCCGTGCAATTTAGCCACACACCTGATCGTGATGCGGGTAAAATTCGAGAGATATCGTCACGTGACATGTCGTCTTCGCACACTTCTCGCAATTTACCGCCTCGACATTTCGCGTTTCGATTCTCGCATTTTACAAAGACCCATTAAATTCAGATGAATCAATTCTTACCACATGTAGGCCAACAATGATCTATTTGATAGCTAATACATTTACTTTCACTTCTGTTCATTCAAATTAATGTGTCTTGTTTTTCATGCTGGTCATAAATAACAACACACCATTCACTCAACCGCAGTAGACATCCAGAAATGAAGACAGAAAACAGTGTTTTAAAAGCAGGCCCAAAAGGAATCAACAAAAATAACAATGAATATAGCAGTCAAGTAGATCTTGAAGCATATACGAGGCACTATATATTCTTATTACTGAAACATAGATCACAAGCAGAGTGGCGCAGTGGAAGCGTGCTGGGCCCATAACCCAGAGGTCCGTGGATCGAAACCACGCTCTGCTAAGTTATTTTGTTTTCTTTGCTAAGTTATTTTGTTTTCTTTACGTTTGACGTCACTGAAGGTAAATGGTCAAGGTTACAAGCTAGGTCTTTTAAAACACAAACGGTATTGATATTAGAAAGTCGTAGCCACTTTTTCTTACATTGGCCATGACTGTCTAGTATTATTAGAATTTGCTTTTAAAGAACCAAACGTGTAATATGAGAGTTGTTTATAATATTTCGGTTTTTTAACTTTTACATTTTACCTTTAAGTAACCGCTAACTGAAAGTTAAAAAAAAAAGACATATTAGCAGAGCGTGTTTTCGATCCACGGATCCACTGCGCCACTTTGGACAGATCACTTATAAAAATATGTGTCACTCTTTATTTTTCATGAGCCTATTTAATTCCCAGCAGTAGTGAAAATATTTCTCAATTGAATTTAAATATCAATTATTCTTAAGTGCAAGGCCTATTATGTTTAATTAATCATCATGCAACATTTGCATTACACTTGTTAATAATTTCACCTGTAGTGACGCGAAATGATTAAGTGATGTTGTGGAGTGATCATCTGATAGGCAAATCGTGCAAGTGACGTCATCTTTGGTCACTAAACATGTGTGTGAAATTCAGCAGTTCTGTTGACAATAGTTACAGCACCTATTCTGTTGTACGCAAGAGTCTTTTTCTGCTTTAAAAAAAACGTTGTGTTTATTTTTAATATGCCGCTGACAGGATTGTGGTTGTGTTTCGTGGTCTCTTTAGATCTGATGACGATCAGAGCTTCTGCGGTTACAGGTGAGATTTTACAATGTTGAAACATTTGTGATCAATGATTGTTCAGCAGCTGTTTCATCTGTAGATAAAGTTTTTTTTACTGTATTCTCTGTTAAACGTATCACATTTGTAATATACATATCTAGAAGACAAAACTAGCCACAAGTACAATTTTTTTCTACTTGGGGGATGCAGTAGGACGTACCCCCCCCTTCTGCACCCCCACACACCGGAAAGAGGCCTGATACCAACTGTGCACGGAACCATCCGTGTGTGATGTCAAAGTTCTCGTTTAGAACCTTACCATGTGGCAAATGAAGTAGAGTTCACCTGTTTCTGTGACCTGTGCATATGAAGTTAAAATGTGGTCAGCACTATGCCCACCCATCATTATTTCACTAACATGAGTTAGGTACTCATCAGAACTGAGTAGACTCAGGGACGTTATACTGACTTGAACCCGGATTCAACAACCGTATAATGACTTAGATCCCTTAGAGTTTACTTGTATTACTAATATTTTAACTGCTTTCCTAGAAATCCCTTCGAGCAACGCTCTAGATTTCATGTCAATTATAAGCGGAGTCTACATGGGCGATTCCATTACTGTTGTGGGTGGGGACTACCAGCAGATCCACGGACGGTACTTGATGGTGCCAGTAGACATCCCAGCTCTACACCAAGTCAGTGAATTATTTTTACACTTTATTTTAATAATTGTTGCAAATCTGAATGAAAACTAGGCGCATTGATAACATTTTAGTATAATCTAAGCCCTTAAAATAAGACCAAAATCAAAGCTATTTTTCAGTTAAATTAATACTTATTATTTATAATTACTTATATCACATATCAACCCTTCATTTCATGAATTAATTTTGTGAAAGCTTTTTGAGAAAAAACAAAAACATCTCACAAGGTTGGCTGTGGTGTGTAGAGAGCATAAATAATGAGGAAATTGAATTATTTTATTAAATAATGTTCATTTTGCAAAATAACAGTTTGTAGCAGTTTTGCTACAGTATGCAACGGTCAGTAAAAATTTGTTAAAATAGAAAACAATTATTATTCATTTATCGTTTCTTCACCTCACTAGAGTATGACGCTATTGTACTTATATTTAAATGATATTTTCTTCTTCTTATTAGAGCATGACGCTATTGTACTTATATTTAAATGATTATTTCTTCTTCCCATTAGAGCATGACGCTATTGTTTGAAGAAAAAGTCAGAGATATCTTTTTCCCACCACTAGTTTTGCCCCTTTCTGAAGAAGGACATGACGTCATAAGAATGGACGCGTTTTTGATAGTGTCTGGCATGAATTTTACAGGGTGAGTTGGTATTAAAATATTATCTAGCTGTTCATTTTCTTTAAATATCATAGAAATATATGTAACATTTCCACTATTTCTTTCGGACTTTTTCCTAGAAGTTGGGGGGGGGGGGGGGGGGGAAGAGGGTAAAGAGTGCGGACTAAACTTTGCGGTGTCGAGGATAGTGATTAAAATATATATTTTCTATATATGCCCCCCCCCCCCCTTCTCCTTAAGAGATGCATGAAAGAGACATTGAATATTCCCTATTAACATATTTACATTTTTATGCATTTAATTTTTTTTATGTTTTTATATTTTTATAAAAATAAAAATGTAATTACATTAGAAGTGATTTGATTTCCAATGAATTTTTTTTTTTTTTAAAACTATATTAAATTTTTGTTGTGAATATACACGTTAGCTCCTTAAAAATTTTTCTAGCGATTTACTTAGTACAGTTTAATTAGAATTAGTCGCATGACATCTAAAGGTGCCATATGTGAGGCCTACAATATGATAAAGTCGTTTATTTTCTTACCGTTGTAGGAACTTGACCACAGACGTGACCAGTGCTGCCAGACTGACCACAGCTGACCTGGTGCCAGTCCCTGAGTGTCGGTCTGTGTTCCAGAAAGTTTCTAGAACTGTCTATAGAGGTCTATGGGCGGACTGTGATGGTGATGAGGTAATGATATTGGTGGTGTGATGAGGTAATGATAGTGGTCGTGTGATGAGGTAATAATACTAGTGGTGTGATGAGGTAATGATACTGGTGGTGTGATGAGGTAATGATACTGGTGGTGTGATGACGTAATGATACTGGTGGTGTGATGAGGTAATGATACTGGTGGTGTGATGAGTTAATGATACTGGTGGTGTGATGAGGTAATGATTGTGGTGGTGTGATGAGGTAATGATACTGGTGGTGTGATGACGTAATGATACTGGTCGTGTGATGAGATAATGATACTGGTGGTGTGATGAGGTAATGATACTGGTGGTGTGATGAGGTAATGATACTGTTGGTGTGATGAGGTAATGATACTGGTGGTGTGATGAGGTAATGATTGTGGTGGTGTGATGAGGTAATGATACTGGTGGTGTGATGAGGTAATGATACTGGTGGTGTGATGAGGTAATGATACTCGTGGTGTGATGAGGTAATGATACTCGTGGTGTGATGAGGTAATGATATTGGTGGTGTGATGAAGTAATGATTGTGGTGGTGTGATGAGGTAATGATACTGGTGGTGTGATGAGGTAATAATACTGGTGGTGTGATGAGGTAATGATACTGGTGGTGTGATGAGGTAATGATACTTGTGGTGTAATGAGGTAATGATACTGGTGGTGTGATGAGGTAATGATTGTGGTGGTGTGATGAGGTAATGATACTGGTGGTGTGATGAGGTAATGATACTCGTGGTGTGATGAGGTAATGATATTGGTGGTGTGATAAGGTAATGATTGTGGTGGTGTGATGAGGTAATGATACTTGTGGCGTGATGAGGTAATGATATTGGTGGTGTGATGAGGTAATGATTGTTGTGGTGTGATGAGGTAATGATACTTGTGGCGTGATGAGGTAATGATATTGGTGGTGTGATGAGGTAATGATTGTGGTGGTGTGATGAGGTAATGATACTGGTGGTGTGATGAGGTAATGATACTGGTGGTGTGGTGAGGTAATGATACTGGTGTTGTGATGAGGTAATGATACTGGTGGTGTGTTGAGGTAATGCTACTCCTTATGTGATGAGGTAATGATACTGATGTTGATATGAGGTAAAGATTCAATTAGGTAATGATACTGGTGGTGTGTTGAGGTAATGCTACTCCTTATGTGATGAGGTAATGATACTGATGTTGATATGAGGTAAAGATTCAATTAGGTAATGATACTGGTTGTGTGATGAGGTAATGCTACTCCTTATGTGATGAGGTAATGATACTGATGTTGATATGAGGTAAAGATTCAATTAGGTAATGATACTGGTCGTGTGATGAGGTAATGATACTGGTCGTGTGGTGAGGTAATGATGTCCTATGTACCTATGTTGTACTCAGACCCCTCCCAAGTACCCCACAACATGGACGTGTGCAGGATCATCATCGACGGAGATTGACACCTACCCCTTGCCGTTCATTTTCTACAGAACAGGTTTGAGGTAAGATTTCAGTTCAAGCGATACATACAGCTTTGCTTTCTTTGTTTTGTTTTGGTTTACAAGGTTCGTCAAATTCGTCATCCAAAACAACATTAATACTTGACATCACGCAAAATTTCTCACTGTATACATATATATATATATATATATATATATATATATATATATATATATATATATATATATATATATATATATATATATATATATTGTAAGGGTGACAGTCTGAGTTGCCACACAGAAGTGTCACCGTGTCTAGTAACGTCACTGCTTATTGTTTTGAAAATAATGCGAGTTTGTATTTCAGAGTAATCGCGTTATCTTACGTTCATAAATTAACTTCAACTTTTTAACAATTGTTTCATCATAATGTTAAAAATGTAGCGTCTAATCTATTAATTGATTCTTGACGAGCTTTATGAAATGAAATTATAACATATTGATATCATACTCACCAGGTTACCACCATACCTGTCATCTAGTTCAGGTAACTACATCCCTCCATGTCCTTATGTAGACGACATCAGCTTCTCCCTTTATTGGTAAAGATAAGATTAACACCAAGTTCTTAATATTCTTAATCTATCGAGGCGCTAAATAAAGTTTTATCACATAATTGAGTTGTGTTTGAATTTTTGTTTGTATTTACATTAAGTGAATGATCTATTTCTCCTAATGAAATATCTTTATGTTTTGCTACCAAAGCTTTAAAAAACATAAAACGAATATAATGTATTTCCTAATTAATAATGCATTTTTCACAAATTTTATCATATATTAAAAAAAAATTGTTATATTTTCTACTCATTTTAGTAATGATGCAATTTTAAAATTTTAAAATTTATATAGTTACAGTTTTGCCTCCCGACAGTCCGTTATCCTTTAAGTTTCATAACTGACAATATACGTTTTTTCTTCTTATTGATTTGTAGTAGTCCATGACTTTTATTCTTCCTTTCACATAGTCCACGCCACTTAATCCATGTTACAAGTTAATGCATGCATAAAACATGACACACTGCATTCAATTTAACACATTTACACATGCGTAATACAATTTATACATGATGAAAAGTTAACATTTAGGGTTTACATATACAGGACGAAACAAAGTACAGTTGTGTATAGGGTCCTGGGTAGAGTTCGACGTACTTCTGATCCAGCTTAGAGATACATGTGATCTCTCGTTCTTGACCGATGCCTTTTAGAGTAGCCCATGTGATGTAATGGTTCTCTGCTGGTGTGACGGCTCTTCAGAAGTGTTTTCATGCTATCGAAGTGAGGGTGGGTTGCGGGGACAGTGGTCACACTGATATACCTTAATGTCTGCATGTACTCATGGTGTCTGTCTATTGCTCTTTGGTCTACTGGATCACGGCATGTATAGCAGTGTTTGTTGATTTCATGGAGGTTTAGTAACTCTTTGTCATAGTAGCTGCGTTTGCAAAATGTACAATCGTAATTTGGAATGAGTTCCGTTTGTGTCTTTGGTTTGAGGTTATTTTATTTTTCTGACCCGAATCGTAATGTATCTGAATCATCTCCACCTTCGGAGAGATCAACTTCAGCTTTGTTAGGGCCACTTGATAGTTTTGTTGCCTGATTTCCCTGGGCGGGGGTGTGGGAGGGGGTGAGGGAGGGGAGAGGTTGTTCCGAGATTTCTTTGTTTCTGATGGCTTGTATTGGTTTAGTATTAATGTCTAACATTGTTGCTGTCTTAACTGAAACATTATTTCGGTTAATTGTAAAATAATTCTTTAAGTTAACAATGAATTAGAGTTCTTAAAAAATGGATCATTGTAAAGTGTAATCCATATTTGAAGTTGTAAGCTAATAATGTTTTTAAAAGTCTGTTTTAGTTTAGAATATTTTTTTTTTCGATTCATACACAGAATAGATTAGTTTGCAAAATTAAGTCTAAGTCGAGCTTTAAAATTAGATTCTGCAATTGTGTATGCTATTACTTTTCCTAAAAAAAAAATTATAAATGTAATATTAAAACGTACATCAATTCCCCATTTTCTCTTCGGTTTATTTTTCTTATTCCATTATGAGCTAAGCTCATTGCTCTCATTCCCAAATTATCTTCTTCCTGTCGTTATCAGCTTCTACTTAAAAATATCTATTTTAATTTGATAATGCCAATATAAATAGTGGCTTAATTAGCCATTTCTCTCTTTATAAGTTAAATTGGAAGATAGGCTACATTGTTTAATTACATTTGTTATAATTTTAATAATATTTAAAATATTATATAGATGACAGAGCTCGATTTTTATTTCACAAAATGAAATGAAATTATAATTTTAAGAGCCATAGACTATTTAGTTTTGTACAATAATTATATTAATACTTAAATAGTATATTTTCTTATAATATACTTTGACCTTTTTAAATTTATTTTATAATTATTGAAATTTATTTTTAGTTACATAAAAGTTTCGGAAAATAGTTATGGGTTGTATCCCTTGATTTAAAAAAAATTAAACTAATTTTAAAAAGGATAATTTTAATTCAATTTTTAATAAAACAAAATATGTATACAATTCTTGCAATAATGCACTAAAAAGGAGAAAGTACTTGATTTTCTTTAAATTTATTATAATACACAACTATTTAAATAACAGTGTCCCACCCCCCCCCCCCCCCCCCCCCCACGGCGAGCTGGAATTCTACGACCGTTAGACTGTTCAGTCGGGCTTAATCTACGAGGTGGATCATCCTTGTGTCTAAAAGGTTTATGGGACATGCTCGACGCTGATAATTTATAATTTGACCGCTACTCCTCTCGGCACTCAAACACGTTAACCCCCACCCTGGGTTTAAAACGTGCGTTCTTTCAGGAATCCATTCGGGGGGGGGGGGGGGGGGGCGCGGAAATCCCCCCACCCACCACTTAACGAAATATAATTTATTAAGAAAAAAATTATACTTGTACAAGTTTCCGCCCCCTGAAAATTTAGCCCGCCTTCTCCAAAGTTTTAATCCAACGGTATTATTAACAAACTAAAGATAAACATCGTTACTATTAAGTCTGCAGTGATTAAAGCTAATAAAATCACATGTACGTGTGTGAGGCATATATTTAGATTAAATAGGCCGACACACACACACACACACACACACACATATATATATATATATATATATATATATGTATATATATATATATGTATATATATATATATATATATATATATATATATATATATATATATATATAAATACTGGAGCCCTAAGCCGCTATTACCAATTTACGTATATGTAATAGTCCTGATCAGTAATTATGGCATCATTAATTATGTACCACGTAATTTTTTTTAGTAAATACCATTAATCATTATCTACTGTAATACTTTTCCACATTAAACAGCTAGTGTTGTTATTTTAATTCGTATCACATTAATATCACATTTCAATTGAAACTTTGCCCGGTAGAGAGTGACTCAGACCATCCTACTTGTTGAACTCTATTCCGTGGTTGATTGTTGCTCAACATAATACGACACGATTTACAATACATCTATTGATAGAGATCTGTTTTGTAAGAGATCATATCTATAGGCTCGATGTGCATTCTTGTATTTTAGTGTATGTAGCATTGTCAAATAAAGTTATGATGTGGAGGCGATGTAGATTGTAAGTATTATACTACTGTGCTATTGTGCATACATTGTTAGAGATCCTTAAAAAGGACAACACATTTTAGCTATTTGATTATGGCTATTATCTGGGAAGTTTTTCAGTGATGTTTAAAAACAAACTACCCTTTCAAACCTTACGGTGTATAAGGTAGGTGAAGTAAAGTTCACCTGTTTCTGTGACCTCGGTATATGGATTGGTGGTGTCGTCAGCACTATGACCAGCCGCCTTTACTTTCTCCACATAAGTCAGGTACCCATTTTAGCTGAGCAAACTCAGGGGTGTCGTACTGACTTGAGCCCGGGATCCGAACTCTAACTTTTATTAGCAGGCGAACTCTCTACAATTCGACCATATCCCATTCATTCATCTTTTATGAAACTGCATAAAAAACCGGTTTTAATATAAAGATCACATCATATTAAGCGAATTTTACCTATTGAAGTATGTTTAGAAAGCTATCGAAAAGAACTGTATATGCTCACTACTGGTACAAGTAATAAATAAACAGGCAGATTTGATCAGTCTTACGTGTTAGCATGAGCTTGTTCTACCGCTAGACCACTGCGTCCCTAATAACTGAATAATAGGGCTGTTAAGTAGGTCACCAACCAGTTCTATGGCTCATGCAACTTACTAGCCCTATTATATGTCATTTATTCATGCAAATAATGAAGTAAATAAAAACTATAATTTGTGTTGTTTTTTCTTTATTAGTGAGTTTATGAGTACAGTGCCACACGTTGTAGCTTGTATGGCCAGTTACTCTATTCTCTTCCTAGCTAACATTTTCAAATTCATTTTCATCGATTCGAGTCTCGTTCACGCTCTGCTGGTCAGCGACTGACGTCACTTGAACGAGTCCAGGGGCACGATACGCTTGACCGGTCCGAAGTTGGTCTGGGTGTAGGGCTCAGGGGCGTGGTCGTGGATGGTGGATTGGGTGACGCCCTGCCCGGACTGACCCAGGCACCCCACGCGGTTGTAGCCGTGGGCGTTCCAGGCATCCTCCCGTTCTTTCTCCGACCTGAAGGTCGACAGGTGTGGTTTCGCCTGGAGGTTTAGAGGGGGGGGGGGGGGTGATGGGCTCAATTATTTATAAATTTAATAAAAAACTTTAAAAAGTAAAATCGAAATTTATTATAGATATTAATTTAAACAAATAAACCAAACATCTTAATTGTATTTAAGAAAAAAGTTAGAAATTGTAGAAAAATCATAACAAGTGTAATATATACTGAATAAGATACAATAACTATATACACCTAGTAGATAGTAACAAAATGACGAATGACTGTAGAAGCATAATATTGAGGTAGAATCAAAATAATGAAGAACACATGATGTTATAGCATTTAAAAGAACATGTTAAAACACTCAAGGTCCAAAAAAAACCCAAGTACTTATAAAAATGCAAGCCAAAAAGACAACACAACGGAATCATTATGTTATAAAAAGCAAAAAAAGAAAAAAAAAGAAATCACAATAGAAAGTTTATTAAAAAAACAACGAGTTTAGTAAGTCTAAAAAATCGATTTTCGTGGGACGAAAAAGATGAGTTTAGTAGGAATGAATAAAGAAGAGAATCGTGAGATGAAAAAGATGAGTTTAGTAGGAATAAATAAAGAAGAGAATCGTGGTATGAAAATGATGAGTTTAGTAGGAATAAATAAAGAAGAGAATCGTGGGACGAAAAAGATGAGTTTAGTAGGAATAAATAAAGAAGAGAATAGTGAGATGAAAAAGATGAGTTTAGTAGGAATAAATACAGAAGAGAATCGTGGGATGAAAATGATGAGTTGTGCGACAGGCCCAACAAGATGACTCACGTCTATAAACTTGGGTAGCCGCCATGGAACTTCTTCCACCTCAACAGGCGCCATCTTGACTCTCAGCTGACTGGCTCTGGTCTCCATCCACCTCGACCACTTCTCGTCAAACGATTTCTTAGACTTGGCCATCTGTGGGATAAATGGGATAGATGTATGGGATAGGATATTGGTGTAACGATTTCTTAGACTTGGCCATCTGGGGATAAATGGGATACATGTTTGGGATAGGTTATTGGTGTAACGATTTCTTAGACTTGGCCATCTGGGGGATAAATGGGATAGATGTTTGGGATAGGATATTGGTGTAACTTGGCAATCTGGGGATAAATTGGGATAGATGTATGGGATAGGATATTGGTGTAACTTGGCCATCTGGGGGATAAATGTAATAGATGTATGGGATAGGATATTGATGTAACTTGGCCATCTGGGGGATAAATTAGATAGATGTATGGGATAGGATATTGGTGTAACTTGGCCATCTGGGGATAAATGTGATAGATGTATGGGATAGGATAAATTGTAACTTGGCCATCTGGGGGATAAATGTGATAGATGTATGGGCTAGGATATTGTGTAACTTGGCCATCTGGGGATAAATGTGATAGATGTATGGGATAGGATATTGGTGTAACTTGGCCATCTGGGGGATAAATGTGATAGATGTATGGGATAGGATATTGGTGTAACTTGGCAATCTGGGGATAAATGTGATAGATGTATGGGATAGGATATTGTGTAACTTGGCCATCTGGGGGATAAATGTGATAGATGTATGGGATAGGATATTGTGTAACTTGGCCATCTGGGGATAAATTGGGATAGATGTATGGGATAGGATATTGGTGTAACTTGGCCATCTGGGGGATAAATGTGATAGATGTATGGGATAGGATATTGGTGTAACTTGGCCATCTGGGGATAAATTGGGATAGATGTATGGGATAGGATATTGGTGTAACGATTTCTTAGACTTGGCCATCTGGGGATAAATGGGATAGATGTATGGGATAGGATATTGGTGTAACTTGGCCATCTGGGGGATAAATGGGGATACACATTTGAGATAGTATATTGGTGTAACTTGGCCGTCTGGGGGATAAATGGGGATACACATTTGGGATAGGATATTGGTGTAATTTGATAATCTGAGGGATAATAGTTGATACAAATATGGGATAGGATAGGATAAAGCTAATTTAAATGATTTTATTAATAATTAAATTGTATTTTAATAGTTAACTTTAGTAATTGTTTTATAATTAATTATATTTTAATGATTTAATAGTTTAATTCATCCTCTAGATTTAGTTACCTTCATAGATTTCTTAGTTTTTTTTTTCATTAATTTTTCAATGTTAAATTTAAGCTTTAGCAGCTTACTTCAACCCTTGGGGTTACTTAAGTTCATAAATTTCTTAGTTTTCTTGTGGGGGGTGGGGGGAGATTTTCTTACCTTAAATTTGAGCCTTAATAGTTTACTTCAGTCTTTAGTTATTTACGTTCATAGTTTTCTTAAATTTTATAGTTACTTACCTTCATAATGTTTATACAATGTTTAGTTACTTTCAGTGTTATTAAACTTAAGAGTTAATTACCTTCAAATGTTTATTAAACTTAAGAGTTACTTACCTTCTAATGTTTATTAAACTTAGGAGTTACTTACCTTCAAATGTTTATTAAACTTAGGAGTTACTTACCTTCAAATGTTTATTAAACTTAGGAGTTACTTACCTTCAAATGTTTATTAAACTTAGAAGTTACTTACCTTCAAATGTTTATTAAACTTAAAAGTTACTTACCTTCATAGCTTTCTTGGATGACAGGAGCCAATCACTCTGGAACTTGTGTATCAGGACATCTGAAAACGGCGGATCTTTTCTAAAAAAAACAAAAAGAGAAAATATTTTGTTAGCAGAACCTTTCGATTTAAATAAATGTCATTAAAATTACCATAGTCAAATTTAGCGGTTTCCTATTTGCAAGACAAGCTTCAATAATGATCAGAGTTTCTTCCAGGCAAAGCCCCCCCCCCCCCCCGAATAAAGTCTACCGCCCCCCTCCCCCGAAAATTTCAAGTGCGCCCCCACCCCCCGGAGAAAAATGTCTGGAAGAAACACTGATAATGATACGATAAATAATGGGAAGGTGAGAAGGTTTTGATTTAAAATGTATTCTCTTCCAGTTTTAAAATCTTTGCTTTACAATACCAATACAGTTTTAAGTGATAATCTAGCTTTCATCTGACAAAGCTCCTTTTTTTTTGGTATGAAACAATTTCTAATTTGACAGCCTGTCTGTGAGTTTCTTTCACGTATACTGCCATCACGGCCAAAAGGTTTTACTCAATAGCCAGACAGGCTGGAACAGGTTATGACACGCGCATTTCGCTCGCCCATGTTACCCTCCGCCGGTCCTTGTTTCCAGGCAGCCTAGCTGTGCTACCTCCCTGAGAGGGGTCAAAGGTTGACCAAATATCTCTGACTAGGGTGACTAAAATAGACTTAATTTTACTTATGCAGGGCTCTTGGTTTTTTTTCTCGCTAACTCAACACAAGACTTCCAAAACATGTTGTGATTATAGACACATCTTTCCAATCTAAAGTGGCTCGTTGGTCTAGGGGCATGGTTCTCGCGATAGGTCCCAGGTTCAAATCCCGGACGAGCCCTATCTATTTCAATCTGTTGAATCTTTTTTTTTTCATTTATTTGTGAGCGATTTTTATAGCTTTGAATAAAGTTAAGATTTAAGATTTTAACTAGAAAAATTAAAATATTGCAGAAGAAAAAAGCTGGGGATGATCCGATGACTTGGTATTCAGGAATGTGGTAAAGTATTGTATAAAGTTCGTACGTCATTTTGATAGTGTCTAGACGTGTTAATTTAATAGCATCCGGGCGAAGGCGGGGGTGTGGTCTGCGTCATTTGACGCCCGATCATATGACGTCACGCCTCCGGGAAAACTATTCTTGAATATTATTTTTTTAAATGTTCAGCTCTAAAATTATTATTCTTACGGCCGTTCTGTAGGCCCTACGTAGAATTAACCAAAACGAAATGAAATTTACGCCAGTATAATAAATTGGGGCGTTTCTTCGCGTTATTTGGATGCCATCAAGAACGATCGGCATGGGAAAGAAAATGTTGCTAAACAATTGTGTAATAATAAAATTATGTTAAAAAAAAAAAAAAAAAAAAAAAAAAAAAAACTAGTTAGATTTCCTAGAAGATAAGTGACCACTGACCAAAAGAACTGTCCGGACTATGCCGATATCTCCCGTATTTTAAAAAGACATTAATGTTGGTTTCTTACTATAAGTAGTAGATATTGTAAACAAAAAATCCATAAGGCTACAGACTGCGTTTTTTTTTTATCAGTTTTGTCCTTTAGTTTAATCAGGCCCAGTAGACAACTGACTGGGGGATTCATCTTGTGACCGGAAGATTCATCTTGTGACCGGAAGATTCATCTTGTGACCGGAAGATTCATCATCTGACCGGAAGATTCATCATCTGACCGGAAGATTCATCATCTGACCGGAAGATTCATCATCTGACCGGAAGATTCATCATCTAACCGGAAGATTCATTGACTCAACGGAAGATTCTTTAACTGACCGGAAGATTCATCATCTAACCGGAAGATTCATCATCTGACCGGAAGATTCATCATCTGACCGGAAGATTCATCATCTGACCGGAAGATTCATTATCTGACCGGAAGATTCATCATCTGACCGGAAGATTCATTGACTCAACGGAAGATTCTTTAACTGACCGGAAGATTCATCATCTGACCGGAAGATTCATCATCTGACCGGAAGATTCATCATCTGACCGGAAGATTCATCATCTGACCGGAAGATTCATTATCTGACCGGAAGATTCATCATCTGACCGGAAGATTCATTGACTCAACGGAAGATTCTTTAACTGACCGGAAGATTCATCATCTGACCGGAAGATTCATCATCTGACCGGAAGATTCATCATCTGACCGGAAGATTCATCATCTGACCGGAAGATTCATTATCTGACCGGAAGATTCATCATCTGACCGGAAGATTCATCATCTGACCGGAAGATTCATTGACTCAACGGAAGATTCTTCAACTTACCGGAAGATTCATCAACTGATCGGAATTTTATCACACGACCGGAAGATTTATCAACAGACCGGAGATTTTTTAACTGACCAGAATTTGTCCAAGACAGGAAGATTCATGAACTGACTGGAAGATTCATCATCGGACCGGAATTAGTCACCTGATCGGAAGATTCAACTTCTGACGATTACTTACACGTTTGGGCGACCAAATACTGTGTCCGGTGGAAATTTTTTTGGGGGTGGACGTTCCATTTTTTTCGCCAACCTAACGCCGTCCAGTATAGCAGGCGCTAACATTCGAAAATGTTTTTTTTTAAAGTCTCTGAACTCTTGAGATGTTACAACTCCAGAAGTTATCGCCCCCTGTTTATAAAAAAAAATACACTCAATTTAATTATAGCCTATGAGCATAATCATATTTAAATTGTGTGTTAAATAATCTTATAACTGAAGTATTTTAAGAATATTTTAAAAGTTTTTATTATGATAATGATAATGACATTTTTTTCGTCTAATTTTAAGGTATGTCTATTTTAATTTGTGTTTTTATGTTGTTTGATAGGTAAGTATTATTGTCACTGAATGAAATTTTTTTAGTATTACACATATCCAATATTTTACCTACGGTCAAACAGCTGTCATAGACTTACCTTAATACACACACCTGTCATAGACTTACCTCACTACACACAGCTGTCATAGACTTACCTTTTTACACACACTTGTCATAGACTTACCTTATTACACGCACCTTTCATAGACTTACCTTATTACACACAGCTGTCAAAGACTTATCTTATTGCACACCTGTCATAGACTTATCTTATTACACACACCTGTCATATACTTACCTTATTAGAAATTTTGTAATAAACTTATTACATTCCCAGAAATGTAATAGACTTATCCTAATTTAAACATCAGCCTCCAACGTATCTGTTATTCCCCAATCTGTGATTGACTTACACATTTAATCACACAGCCGTCATCGACTTTTTTCACACATCTGTTACCAACATATCCATTATTCACACACTTGTAACACACTTACCCTGTTCATTTGTAGGTAATCGTTAACTTTCGGTTCATCCTTAACACCTGTTACTTCTGCCTTGGTGGGTAAACAGCCGCTCCAACCAGTCATGGCTGTTTGGTAGAAAGGGTTTAGGTTAGTGTGAAGCTTGGGTCATGGTTTGAGTTAAGGTTAAAGGCTAAGTTTAGTGAATCGCTGTTTGGTAGAAAGGGTTTAGGTTAGTGTGAAGCTTGGGTCATGGTTTGAGTTAAAGGCTAAGTTTAGTGAATCGCTGTTTGGTAGAAAGGGTTTAGATTAGTGTGAAGCTTGGGTCATGGTTTGAGTTTAGGTTAAAGGCTAAGTTTAGTGAATCGCTGTTTGGTAGAAAGGGTTTAGGTTAGTGTGAAGCTTGGGTCATGGTTTGAGTTAAGGTTAAAGGCTAAGTTTAGTGAATCGCTGTTTGGTAGAAAGGGTTTAGGTTAGTGTGAAGCTTGGGTCATGGTTTGAGTTAAGGTTAAAGGCTAAGTTTAGTGAATCGCTGTTTGGTAGAAAGGGTTTAGGTTAGTGTGAAGCTTGGGTCATGGTTTGAGTTAAGGTTAAAGGCTAAGTTTAGTGAATCGCTGTTTGGTAGAAAGGGTTTAGGTTAGTGTGAAGCTTGGGTCATGGTTTGAGTTAAAGGCTAAGTTTAGTGAATCGCTGTTTGGTAGAAAGGGTTTAGGTTAGTGTGAAGCGTGGGTCATGGTTTTAGTTTAGGTTAAAGGCTAAGTTTAGGGAATAGCTGTTTTGTAGAAAGGGTTTAGGTTAGTATGAAGATTGGGTCATGGTTAGAGTTTAGGTTAAAGGCTAAGTTTAGGGAATGGCTGTTTGGTAGAAAGGGTTTAGGTTAGTGTGAAGCTTGGGTCATGGTTTGAGTTTAGGTTAAAGGCTAAGTTTAGGGAATGGCTGTTTGGTAGAAAGGGTTTAGGTCAGTGTGAAGCTTGGGTCATGGTTTGAGTTAAAGGCTAAGTTTAGAGAATCGCTGTTTGGTAGAAAGGGTTTAGGTTTAGGTTAGTGTGAAGCTTGGGTCATGGTTTGAGTTTAGGTTAAAGGCTAAGTTTAGTGAATCGCTGTTTGGTAGAAAGGGTTTAGGTTAGTGTGAAGCTTGGGTCATGGTTTGAGTTTAGGTTAAAGGCTAAGTTTAGTAAATCGCTGTTTGGTAGAAAGGGTTTAGGTTAGTGTGAAGCTTGGGTCATGGTTTGAGTTTAGGTTAAAGGCTAAGTTTAGGGAATGGCTGCTTTGAAGAAATGGTTTAGGTTAGTGTGAAGCTTGGGTCATGGTTTGAGTTTAGGTTGAAGGTTAAGTTCAGTGAATCGCTGTTTGGTAGAAAGGGTTTAGGTTAGTGTTGAATTTGTGGTTTTGGTTAGGGTAAAGATTGTTATGGTCTTGGGTATCTGTTAGTACGTGCTATGCTTATGGCTGTCAGAGGAAGTGAAGGGTTATGTTGTTAATATCAAGTAAGGTGTTTAATAAAACAATTAGATTTATTACATAATTATTTTTCCTGACGTGAACTAAGTTACACATTGTGAAAATATAGTTAATTCCCCTCCCCCCTATCTCTTTACCAAGCTATCAAGTGAAGACAAGTATAAGCAAAGGCGTCACTACGTCGGGTGTCACCTGGTGCGGTGTACCCCCCCTCCCCCCTCAGTTCCCTTCATGTGACGCCACTGACTAATATCACGTGACCACTCACCGTGTGCGGCGGTCCATGGACTGGTCATAGTCACCCCGTGTGTGATGTTCTTCGGAACTCTCCGGCCACGAAGTTTGGGTTTACCGATTTTGTCCTGAGATTATAGAACAAGAAAACTTAGGCGAATCAACACAAGAAGAAACATTCTCAATGTGTAATGGGGTTGGAAGCAGGCGTCGTAACTTAAAGCAATGTCAACAGAAATGTGATATTTTAACGTACACGCGAGGCGAATCTATGCCTTCGTGGAGTGGTAGGTTCGAACCCGTTTGGTTTCAACTGTCCTGTCTTTACTCGGACTGTATTCTGTACCTGTGTCCAGTGTTTCTTCCAGACTTTATTCTCCGGGAGGGGGGGGGGCACTTCAAATTTTCGGGGGGGGGGGGGTCGGACTAAAATTTTCGGGGGGTAGAGGGCGGACACTGTTAAAAGTATATATTTTCTATATAAATTTCCATTCCGTTTGGGAACGGTGGACTTTCTTCGAAGGGGGGGGGGGTGATCTCCCCCCCCCCCCCCCATAAGAGATGCCTGGAAGAAGCTCTGCCTGTGTCTATTCTTGGTGTTGAAATATCACTTTCTGTTTACATAGCTATTTCAACATTCGCAGTACAGTTTCTCGTCTATCCTGCGCATCGTTCTAAAGACATACATTTTATGCCTGTTCCTATATAGATTCCATTTTCCTGTAGTTTTTGTTGAAATTCTGTACGATGTACGTTGCCCCAACGAACCCAACAAGGGTTAAGGTTAAGGGATAAATAACAATAATGATTGTTGACCGTCATATCTTCTTCTTCTTCAGGTTTAAGGATCGTGTTCGCAATCAGCGTTTGTGATATTGTTTTGGTGTTATCCTTAGGAATAGTGATCGGTGGTGGATAAATTTAGCTTTGATGTGAGAACTGCGACAGCCATAAGATTATCTACAGCAAACATGTCTAGCACATCGCAATCCTGGTCTATGATTGGATAACCTTTTCTAATTAAGTTAAACATTCACCCCCCCCCCTCACCACTGAAACTAATGATGCATGGTAGATTAATATATGTCCAGGCATCTATTCGAGGGTGTTGAGGGGGGGGGGGGGGGGGTGGGGGGCTCAGCCCCACCAATCCCCGCCCCCTTGAATGAAATGGAATTTAAATAGAAAACACACTTTTACAAAAATTTAGCCTGCGACCTCCCCCCCCCCCTAAATTATCACACCCCCCTGGAGAAAAAAGTCAGAAAGAAACACTGCAGTGATAGGGTTAAGATGCTGGTTATGGTTGAGGCTATGATAAAGCTATAGTCATAGCCAATGGTAGCGATAGTTTAGGCTAGCGGCTGCACCAAAAATATCTTTGACACGCTCAACCAGTTACCTTATATGTTGAGATAGGCTTCTTATCGAATCAGCATCAATACTCCGATAATAATGGTCGGACCCTAACTTTTAGGCTAACCCTTTATTTAACATAATCGTCAAACATCATGAGAATCCTATTACACACGAGTCCATTAAAAGGAAAGTTGGTACGGCTAATCTACATGAACTACAAACTATCTGAAGCTGGTCTATTGATATAGAGCGTGGGTACGGCTAATCTATAAGAACTACAAGCTGACCTTCAGCAGAAGCTGGTCTGTTGATATAGAGCGTAGATACGGATAATCTACAAGAACTACAATTGTTCGATAAAGAGGAGGGTACGGCTAATCTACAATAACTTCAAACTGATCTTCAGTAGAAGCGTGTTGCTCTCATTATAAACAAGGGTACGGCTAATCTACAAGGACTACAAACTGACCTTCAGCAGAAGCTTATTGTTCGATATAAACGAGGGTACGGCTAATCTACAAGATTAAAAAACTGACCTTCAGCAGAAGCTTATTGTTCAATATAAACGAGGGTACGGCTTATCTATAAGGACTACAAACTGACCTTCAGCAGAAGCTTATTGTTCGATAAAGAGGAGGGTACGGCTAATCTACAATAACTTCAAACTGACCTTCAGTAGACGCGTATTGCTCTCAGTATAAACGAGGGTACGGCTAATCTACACGATTAACAAACTGACCTTCAGTAGACGCGTATTGCTCTCAATATAAACGAGGGTACGGCTAATCTAAACGATTAACAAACTGCCTTCAGCAGAAGCTCATTGGTCTATAGATATAGAGCGTGAATACGGCACACAATATAAATTAGGGTACGGCTAATCTACAAGAACTACAAACTGACCTTCAGCAGAAGCTTATTGTTCGATATAAACGAGGGTACGGCTAATCTACAAGATCAAAAACTGACCTTCAGTAGACGCGTATTGGTCTCAATATAAACGAGGGTACGGCTAATCTACACGATTAACAACCTGACCTTCAGCAGAAGCTCATTGGTCAGCATCTCGACCCTCTTCCTGCCCAGGAATCCTGTGGTGGTCAAGTTGAAGGGGTCGCACTCAAGCTCCCACGGGTGCGGCATTGTTGACTGGTGTGTACGGGACTGGGAAGTTGCTCAGTGAGAGAGATACTCCACGGGAGCCGTAGGATAGTTCCTGGAGACAATGTCTTCACCCGTGTTTTGCCGTGTACATCGGTGTACACTAATGCATTGATCTTATCGGTGCAGTTTGGTGTACGTGTAGTTAATCTGCGGGAATATCCGTTTTGTATAAAAAGGAATTGAAATCAGCAGACGCTGATAAGAATAAAATTTATATTTAGAACACATACTGGTAACTAATTATATTATTTGTTAATACTAGATCTAGATCTAGACAAGAATTTAAAACTGTATGTATCCTTCGTATTAATTGGTACTCACAATGTAAGTTAAAAATGTATTCAAGATTTGTTTAGTTTGAACAGTTTAGAGGAACGTTTTTAACAGCGGTAATGATAGAGGGTATAGTAACTTTGAACGGAGGCTCGTTGGTCTAGGGGTATGATTCTCGCTTCGGGTGCGAGAGGTCCCGGGTTCAAATCCCGGACGAGCCCTATTTTTTAATTTTGTTTTTCTTTTCTTGTGAATTAATTCTTAAAAGACTTCATTAAAAATAACGATGACCTGTAAACAAAAATACACCTGATAAACAAGAAGTATTGTGTGAGTTGTAAAAAATTATGTGGATGCAACAGGGCTCGTCCGGGATTTGAACCCGGCACCTCTCGCACCCAAAGCGAGAATCATACCCCTAGACCAACGAGCCGTTAATGGTAACAACTGTAGGAATTTTTTTTTTTACAAAGTTAACATCAGATTTAATCTTAAAATAGTTTTAACTTATAGTAGTATTTACATGAGCATCTTCCATTTTTAATTAAATGTCAATTTTAATATTTTTTAATGTTTATTATTTTCTGCGAGTTTTCCTAAAAAAAATTGCTAGATGTAAATGTTATGATATTTTTTATGAAGTACCTTTATTTAATTTAAAAATAAACAAGCTATAATTAATACTTCTAAAGATACAAGCTACATATACAGACAACGCCTGTCTTTTCATATAGTTTATGAAATACTTATCATTCACAAAAGAAAAACAACTTTGCACACCACTGATCGCATAAAGCTAAAAACGCACCTTTCACATAAATACTCCAAGATTTTGTCAACACTTCCGCATTTCCTGGTCTATTGTATACAATGAGTTTTCAAACTACACATACGTATCTATTCTTGATATTTTTAATTGATATTTATTTAGAATAACAGCAACGCCACATACAATAGTTCGTGATTGTAGCGCGGAGAACAACAGCGTCATGTTTCTGATGAAGGATACATTGAATCTTTTCCTGCTGTCTACCACGTTATTCCCTGCCTCAAGTTACATAAGAATAGAGATAGGGAGACAGGACAGAACCTTGCTAAGTATTTATCTTTATTTAGATGCTGTAATAAACATGTTTATAATAAATTGGTAGTGATGAGGATAATAAAATGCTTTCTTAGTTAAAAAGAAAACACGGAAGGAATTTGTTTTGGGTTTGTTTTTGTTACAGAATTTCGAAATTTGGTCACTTTAAGCAACAAACTAATTGATTATCTAGGTTGCAGGTGGAATTATTAAAAATATGATTTGATTGGAATTGCATACAATTCTACTATTCTCTCTTATTTTTACATATAGACTTACATTTCTCACCAAGACATACCAACATATGCTTCATCTGTAATTACCTGTAAATTAACACTTAGTTACAATTATTATTTCACCTAAAACTACTGAACATTTTACACCTAGATTCACTAATATATTCCCCTTTAGTTAACAATATCTCTTTCTTCTAGAAAAAAAAAATCTGGATTTTACTATAATATGCCACTGCTTGAGTTTTTAACACCTATTTATCTGAAATTACCTATACATTCTACAAGTAGGGTAAAACATGCAGTTCTCACCTCTTACGTGTTTCAGTCTTCTCAAGTTCTCTATAAAACGAGAGTTGATTGGAAGTCTCGCAGATTAAATGGGAGAGCAATGGCCAGAAATTCAGGGTGGCCACGCCGTGGGATATTCAAGCCTTTTTAGCTGGGGTAAGTTTGTGTAGAAGGCAAATTTACACGATTTTAGCTGGGGTAAGTTTGTGTAGAAGGCAAATTTACACGATTTTATCTGGGGTAAGTTGTGTAGAAGGCAAATTTACACGATTTTATCTGGGGTAAGTTTGTGTAGAAGGCAAATTTACACGATTTTATCTGGGGTAAGTTTGTGTAGAAGGCAAATTTACACGATTTTATCTGGGGTAAGTTTGTGTAGAAGGCAAATTTACACGATTTTATCTGGGGTAAGTTTGTGTAGAAGGCAAATTTACACGATTTTATCTGGGGTAAGTTTGTGTAGAAGGCAAATTTACACGATTTTAGCTGGGGTAAGTTGTGTAGAAGGCAAATTTACACGATTTTATCTGGGGTAAGTTGTGTAGAAGGCAAATTTACACGATTTTAGCTGGGGTAAGTTGTGTAGAAGGCAAATTTACACGATTTTATCTGGGGTAAGTTGTGTAGAAGGCAAATTTACACGATTTTATCTGGGGTAAGTTGTGTAGAAGGCAAATTTACACGATTTTATCTGGGGTAAGTTGTGTAGAAGGCAAATTTACACGATTTTATCTGGGGTAAATTGTGTAGAAGGCAAATTTACACGATTTTATCTGGGGTAAGTTGTGTAGAAGGCAAATTTACACGATTTTAGCTGAGGTAAGTTGTGTAGAAGGCAAATTTACACGATTTCATCTGGGGTAAGTTGTGTAGAAGGCAAATTTACACGATTTTAGCTGGGGTAAGTTGTGTAGAAGGCAAATTTACACGATTTTAGCTGGGGTAAGTTGTGTAGAAGGCAAATTTACACGATTTTATCTGGGGTAAGTTTGTGTAGAAGGCAAATTTACACGATTTTAGCTGGGGTAAGTTGTGTAGAAGGCAAATTTACACGATTTTATCTGGGGTAAGTTTGTGTAGAAGGCAAATTTACACGATTTTATCTGGGGTAAGTTGTGTAGAAGGCAAATTTACACGATTTTATCTGGGGTAAGTTTGTGTAGAAGGCAAATTTACACGATTTTATCTGGGGTAAGTTTGTGTAGAAGGCAAATTTACACGATTTTATCTGGGGTAAGTTTGTGTAGAAGGCAAATTTACACGATTTTATCTGGGGTAAGTTGTGTAGAAGGCAAATTTACACGATTTTATCTGGGGTAAGTTGTGTAGAAGGCAAATTTACACGATTTTATCTGGGGTAAGTTGTGTAGAAGGCAAATTTACACGATTTTATCTGGGGTAAGTTGTGTAGAAGGCAAATTTACACGATTTTATCTGGGGTAAATTGTGTAGAAGGCAAATTTACACGATTTTATCTGGGGTAAGTTTGTGTAGAAGGCAAATTTACACGATTTTATCTGGGGTAAGTTGTGTAGAAGGCAAATTTACACGATTTTATCTGGGGTAAGTTGTGTAGAAGGCAAATTTACACGATTTTATCTGGGGTAAGTTGTGTAGAAGGCAAATTTACACGATTTTATCTGGGGTAAGTTGTGTAGAAGGCAAATTTACACGATTTTATCTGGGGTAAATTGTGTAGAAGGCAAATTTACACGATTTTATCTGGGGTAAGTTGTGTAGAAGGCAAATTTACACGATTTTAGCTGAGGTAAGTTGTGTAGAAGGCAAATTTACACGATTTCATCTGGGGTAAGTTGTGTAGAAGGCAAATTTACACGATTTTAGCTGGGGTAAGTTGTGTAGAAGGCAAATTTACACGATTTTAGCTGGGGTAAGTTGTGTAGAAGGCAAATTTACACGATTTTATCTGGGGTAAGTTGTGTAGAAGGCAAATTTACACGATTTTATCTGGGGTAAGTTGTGTAGAAGGCAAATTTACACGATTTTAGCTGGGGTAAGTTGTGTAGAAGGCAAATTTACACGATTTTAGCTGGGGTAAGTTGTGTAGAAGGCAAATTTACACGATTTTATCTGGGGTAAGTTGTGTAGAAGGCAAATTTACACGATTTTATCTGGGGTAAGTTGTGTAGAAGGCAAATTTACACGATTTTATCTGGGGTAAGTTGTGTAGAAGGCAAATTTACACGATTTTATCTGGGGTAAGTTGTGTAGAAGGCAAATTTACACGATTTTATCTGGGGTAAGTTGTGTAGAAGGCAAATTTACACGATTTTATCTGGGGTAAGTTGTGTAGAAGGCAAATTTACACGATTTTATCTGGGGTAAGTTGTGTAGAAGGCAAATTTACACGATTTTATCTGGGGTAAGTTGTGTAGAAGGCAAATTTACACGATTTTAGCTGGGGTAAGTTGTGTAGAAGGCAAATTTACACGATTTTATCTGGGGTAAGTTGTGTAGAAGGCAAATTCACACGATTTTAACTGGGTAAGTTTGGGTAGAGGGACATTTAAGCTTTTTTTTGTATCTAGGGTGATTTTGGTTAGACGGATATTTAAGGGTTTTTAACTGGGGTAAGTTTAAGCAGATGCACATTTTAATGGGGTTGAGTTTGTGTAAAAGTACATTTACACGATTTTAACGGGGTATATTTAGTTAGAAAGACATTCTAAACTCAATTAAAATAAATGACACACAAAAAAACAAGACTTAATAATTTTTAGATAACAGGTAATGTATTAATGAACTTGATTTTCAATATAATTTTCTGTGCATTTATACAAATGTATTGGGTAGTTCGTATTGTGTAAAAATTATTTATGTTTTTTTTAAAACAATGATGACAATTTCATGTTAGGAAAATAATATTTACATAAGTTTCCATTATTTTAACGTTAGAAAAATTGCTAAATAAAGAAAATATGTAGCAAATGAGTATACTATTTATCACTGTACGTAGAATGTTAAAACACACGTGAACGTAGAGAATAAAAAAAAAACAACAACAACGCGAACTGGATATGTTAAGTCAACTTTACGTTCACTTTAACGGAAATATTTGTGATGAGCGATTTTTAAAAACCAACACTAAACAGTGATTTACTAAAATAAGAGCTGTTGTATTATCTTTTTACATTTCATTTGGACAAAACAGTATGCATTCTTATTTTTACTATTTATAACTCAATTTTTTTTTCAGGTAATATTTATCTAGTTTTGTTAATAGGATTAACATTTTAAAATAACAAAGTTCTGAAAAAAGGATGTGTGGGCATTTTAATAAGGTGAGGATAACGTTTTGTTTGTTAAGTGTCGTGTAGGGACGTCCAAAGAAGACTTCTGAATTTCAAATCCACAAACAAGTTTTTGGATGTTCAAAACTGCTAATTATGAGATGGATGTTCAAAACTTCTAATTAGGAGATGGATGTTCACAACTGCTAATTAGGAGATGGATGTTCAAAACTTCTAATTAGGAGATGGATGTTCAAAACTTCTAATTAGGAGATGGATGTTCAAAACTGCTAGCTAAGGAATGGATGTTCACAACTGCTAATTAGGAGATGGATGAACTCGCATTCACCGAGCTAACACATACTTTTTCGAAACAAATGGCCAACAAAGATTCTAGTATAAGTGCTTGAGCTAATTAAATATTCGTTGATTAAATTATATAAAAATAACATAAGTTAAGTTGGACGTAGAAGGTATATACAGGTAAGTTTACGGTAGAAGTCTCAATAGTAATGGGCAACAACATAACCAACGGAGAAAATTGTAAAATGAAATTTTAAGAGCTAATTTAATTGTCTAACGTGCTTCATTTGGAGCTATATCGTGATTTTTTAATTTTTTTTTTACCAATTTTTGGTTTGGATTTTAAAAATAATTTTACAACTGTTACTTTCGATACTTTTAAGCTACAAATCGCAATCTATTCTTCACTATTATGTTTTTTTTATATTAAATTTTAAATATTATATTTTTTTATCAGATTTATTTCTTAAGATAAGTTTTCGGTAAGATTTTGCAAACTTAGAACTCATCGTAACGTAAATGAAAAAATTAACAGATGCTCCGATCTGATAAAGTAGGTAGTCAACGGCCACCAAAACATCCCTAAATTTCCTAGTCTGGGCCAAACCTTCCGCCGTCATCCACAGGTAAATCTCCAGACCTGAGGTCGAGATGTACACGCTGATCGCCACGATGCAGACGGTGAGGAGCAGACGAAAAACTTTTTTGTCGCGAGATTTCATAGAATCCGGAGCGGCTTGAGTCATTCTCTTGACTTTTTCCCTAGCTTTGATTAACTTGAGTATAATTAGAGCTGTGAATACGACTAGTAATATTAATGGAATATAGATTAAATTACCAAAGATAAAAGTATAATAATTAAGAATATCGGCATTTTTTAAGTAAAAAGGCAAGTAATAAACCACGGCGTACGTCGAGTTTCCATTTTTATATTTTAACCACTTAATGTAATAGAAAAAGTTTCCTGGGAAATAACCCACAATGTTGATCAAGTATAAAAGAAAAATCACTACAAAAACGTTTCGTGCGGTAAAAATACGCGAAGCGTGGAATGGAAACCAAACTGCGACGAACCTTTCTATTGATATGAGAGTTATGTGTAAAATGCCCATTACTATAGTGACTTGGAGAATATAAGCGAAATATACAAAATATATAGCAAACATCGTCAAGGATGTCATATGGTCGTATAAATCAACAATGAAATAAGATTTGTTCAGACATAGGACGAGAGAAACGAGGAGGTCTGAGAAGGACAACGAGATCAGGATGATATTGCTTGACTCTTTGAATCCGTGCTGTGGTAAGATGATGATGTTTAAAATGTTGCCGAGGACTCCGATGATGCCGAACCCAGTGGTCAGGATACAGTTGAATGCCAGACTTATCCTCGCTGCGGCTCCGTCTGAGATGTCGTACAGGTAGAACGACTGCGTCATGGCTGTTGTCTTAGCCAGCTGCGTCGTGGAGTCAGAGTGGTTTGAAGAGAACACGACGTCTAGAACAGCCGTGGTGTTGGTGGTCGTCATTTTTCTAACAGCTAATGTAACTGTGTTGAGTGTTTAAATCTAAAATGAAACGTATATGTTTTAAATTTTTTAAAATTTACATAACCAATCAAATTAAAGTGCACAAAGACAAAAAAGACAACGGATTTTGGTAACAGTAAAAAATGTTATAAAAAAAACAACACCAACGTTTTCTTTTTTGTTTTCAAAAGTGGAAACTTCATTTTATTTTTAAATGCTCTGTCTCGTTCTAGGTTAATTTATGAATGTAATAGATTTATTAAATTCAGCCATACTTTTGTTTCAAAATAAAATATATTTGTCTGTTTTAAATATTGGGTTGGTGAGTGTAAATAGAAAGTTACACATATTTTTTTTTAGCTTCTCAGAATTTAAAACTTTTGTAACAATTATTTTAAATACCTAATTTGCTTTTCATAAGCGTTAGATTTAATTTCTGGTCATTATTTAAGGCTACCCTGATGACAAAATGCATGAAAACAAGTTTTTGGTCTATATAAACAATAATGAAATGGTCCCTTTCGGCCGAATGGGCCAATACCGTTGTCACTTTTCTATTATTACTTATACATTTTTTGTGTGTCGTTTTAACATTTTAAATCGCCATATTATTTAAACATATAATGTAGAAAAAAGATATTTAGAAAATGATTTTTGTTTTATTTGCTACAATTTTCCAAAGCAGAAAACTTAAGACAATGAGTTAATTACTTTATGGCTTTTACTGTAAAGTAAAATTACCAAATTCGTCTTTTATGGCCGTGCTAGTAACTTGGAATAAAAACAATAAGAAATCAACTTACTTTACCAAATATTAAATATTTTTATCTTTGGCCAAGTCTACTATTTGTATAATATTAAATTCCTATTTTTGTTTTAAATATGAAGCAAAACTGTACTTTAGGTACTTGTAAAACTTTATTAAGCTAAAACTATCGTGTTCCAAATATATGTTTACATTTCTACATATGTAAACATATAAATATAAATACATGTTACATGCTCTGCATGGTGTACTACCAAAGCTACGGCAACTATTATTCTAGATGTAAACATTTAATTAATATCACATTAACATTTGAATGTAATATAAATTTTCTTCATGCTAAAGCCAAGTTTTGTCATAATTTTTAAACCGCTTTTGTGAAATATAGACAATAAAACGTGTATTATTATACAGAGATTCTGGTGGAAAATCGATAAAAAGAAAGTCAAGTAACTGTCAATAAAAACATGAATTACAAGAAATGTTTTTTTTTAATATACACAACCGTATAGGAAAATTCTTACAACTTGTACACATTACGGAATATTGAACTGCCAAGATGTCAAGATGTCTGGAGATGTCGCAACAAAATGTCACATTGTGTCATTAATCTCTTGACATTTTGGAGAGAGGTTGTTGTCTGATCAAGTCTGTGTTTCAAGAGTTCCTGGTTGTACGGCAGACATTGTGAGACGAGTTTCTGAAGTGCGCGTCACTTTACAATGATCGATATATTTTTGCTTACTTGTATACAAGTATGCTCGTTAGGTATGTTTGTGTTTAGCTGAGAAAAACGAACATCGGTACTTAAACTACGTATGTAGGTCTTTTAGTTTGACTTGGATTTTTTAAGAACAACGAAACGTCTGAGTTGAAGCGGACGGGTCATGTGGCATAGATTAAAGTCACTCATATTTATTCAAGTGCGTCTAGTATTTATTAAATTCAGCCTCTCATATTTTTCAGGTGCGTCTCTTGTTTTTGAACAAGTTGCAGTCTCTGGTGTATGAAGTGGACTAGTCATTTGATATCAAACGTGCTATGAGAGCAGCACTAGAGGTGTGTTGGCTAAAATAAGCACCATACAATTTATTTTGATATTTCGACTTCTGTTTCTAAAGATACATCATGTATCTAAACAGAACTTTAGTATATCGTTTTACAAAATATTACTTTACTATGTATGTTTCATATTCACTAAATACAACATGCACTACAATTGAACACCATACCTTTTTTAATAAACTTTTTAACAGTTCATAGAGTATTTTTTTAATATATTAAACAGCATAGGTTTCAAGATGACCTGTGCTCTGCAAAGAGTTTATAACATAAATGTTTTGTTGATTTAAAACACGAATTGTCACAATTTATGTTATCTTTTATTCATTGTTTCTTAAAGCTGGACTCGACGATGAACAACCGCTTTAGACTGTTTATATGAGTTATTATTTTTATAAACAACAATAAAAAGAACATTTAACAGAATACAACTGCTATAATTCTCAACATAATTTCTGTAAAAATAATTTCCATGTTTACGATATTAATAATTAAATTATTTAAAAAGATTTTTTATCATTCCTCCATAAATAACATTCTTTTATGTGAAATACAAAATGTACAATATATCTCATCATCATGTTATATTTATTATCTTTGTAATGTTTTACGAGGAAATATTGTTTATTTTACTCTTGTATTATATTGTATTACAAGTACTACATCGTTAACGTTTATTTTAAACTAAATGCATTGCGTTGTATTAGAAACTATCTTGACGTCTTCACCTTATATAAAATACTTAGCTTTCCATGTATTTAAAAACAAATCTAAGTGGCTTTGGTAATATATCACACAAAGCATTATACATTTAAGTGTATATGTTACAAATGTAGAAATTTAAACATATGTTTGGAACGCGAAGGATTTAGCATATTAAGTTTTGAAAGTGTTTAAAAAATAAACAATATTAAGGCTACAAATGATACACATAGTTGACTTGGCAAATGATAAAAATATTTAATATTTGGTTATGTAAGTTAATTATTGTATGCTTATATTTTAAAGCCTTAAAGTAATTTATACATTGTCTTTAGTTGAATGCTTTGAGCAAAAAAATGAAATCAAAATACATATTTTTATATAGCCTACTTAGAGGTTTACAATTTTTATTGAAAATAATGTGGCAACTCAAATTCTTAAAATGTCAAAATTAAAGAAAAAAAAATATCAGTAGGGTCCGTCTCAGTATTAATAGAAATGGGAAAATGACATTGGACAAGTTGACGTCTAGGGACCGTATAATCATTATCGACGTGGACCAAAAACTTGAGTTTGGTAGTTTCATCTGCCGAGTAGCAGGAAAATTAATAACAATTAACAAAAATTGTTTTTGACTTTAAGGTTACATTTTTATTGCCATTCACTAAACCAATACGGGATAATGACAAATATCATGTACAAGGAGGAAAATATTGACTGAAATTGTTGTACAATAGTACCATATCTGTGAGGGTGGGGAGGGGGGGGGGGGATAGATGATCTTCCGCCAGTTGTGAGGGTTGTGAAGATGATGAGAATCCAACACACAAGTTAAAGTCAAAATTTAATATTGTTTATTAAAATGTACACAATCAACTTCCTACCTAACTAATCTATCTATCTATATATATATATAATTTTCTTCTGGGAGACACTAGAAAACAAGCTGTAAGCGCGCTCCCTACCACCCCACCCCTACATGGTCTGGTGAGCTGTGGTTCACGCTAAATGTTTACATAACAATCGTAGAGCCGGGTTTAGTGACGACTATTAGGGGCAGATAATTTAGTTTGAACCAATTTCAACTGAGGGGAGGTAACTAAGAGGAGGCTGCTTTCACGGGGGGGGGGGGGGGTGTAGGGGTGTAGGGTAGGGGTTGTAGTATCGTCCTTAACGACCTACTGATAGTGTTTTAAAGCAGATATTTTCAGTGGCAGCATTGGTACTGTCGAATTCACAAATTATGAATGAATGAAAAGTAGAAAATAAAACAACTAAATAGCGGCGTATGATATGCCGCGGGTCGGCTCGTATATATAATTCTCTTCTTGGAGACCCTAGAAAACACCAAGCTGTAAGCGCGCTCCCTACCACCCCCACCCCTACATGGTCTGGTGAGCTGTGGTTCACGCTAAATGTTTACACTCGTAGAGCCGGGTTTAGTGACGGCTATTAGGGGCAGATAGTTTAGTTTGAAACGATTTTAAACTTAGGGGAGGTAACTAAGAGGAGGCTGCTTTCACGGGGGGTGGGGGAGGGGGGTGTAGTGGAAAGGAGGGGGGGGGGGGGGTTATCGTTCTTAATGAGCTACTGAAAGTGTTTTAAAGCAAATATATTCAGTGGCAGCATTGGTACTGTCGAATTCACATATTATGAATTACTGAAAAGTAGAAAATAAAACAACTAAATTGCGGCGTATGTTACGCCGCGGGTCGGCTCGTACTATACTATTACTACTAACATGACCATCCCTAACACTATCTATCTCTAATTCTCCACATCTTTCTGTTAGTTCTCCTACCATACCTAACGAGCAGCTGTTAACCTGGCTCTACATTTCTCCGACCGTCTCTAACCAATAACTAACACCAACTCTGGTCTAACGTGACTGTTCAGCTCCTGTATTTTCATTGGTCTCTCTAACCAACTAGCTATAGCCTGTTTCTATTAACGTCTTCTACTTGACCTATCCGACCTCAACTAGCGTCATCACACTCTCTTTATGACAAAAGATCTATTTAAACTCATTCTGAACACAGCATTTAAATAAACCGGGAGTGATCTCCCCTAAACTTTCTCGAATATTTTTATATAAAATAACAGGGGATGGGAACTCGGGCTATAGACATGATTTTTAATCCATTTTAAATACTTAAAGTTTTTAAAAAAATTCATAAAAAAACGTTTTTATAGCAAGCTTTTATGTACTAATGCACTAAAAAGTAGAAAATAAATTATACACTACTATATAAATTACTATAAAGAAAAGCGTGGGTCACTTTAGTACTTTAGTACCTATTGGATACCTTTACTAATATTTGAGAAGAGACCCACGCTTTTCTTTATAGTAATTTAAATAGTAGTGTATAATTTATTTTCTACTTTTTAGTGCATTAGTACATAAAAGCTTGTTATTAAAACGTTTTTTTATGA